CAGGTGCATCTATTAAAACAGAAATGGATGTTGCAGGTGTAGCAGTTATAGATGCAGAACCAGAAGAGAGTGACCTTTTCTTAGAAGATGAGGACCTACTGGACCTAAGACCACTAGGTGGAGATGAGACATATAAAGACGTCAACATTAGCGAAGAACTGACTGGCAAACAAATAAAATGTATTAAAAGACCTACTGTGCCAATATGGAGATATATTCACAAATAAACCTGGAAAAACAGACCTTGTGCAACACAAGATCGAGACCACAACCAGGTATCCAGTCAGAATGAAGCCCTATCAGATGCCTTATGCGATGAGAGATCTGATAAAGCAGGAAGTGGAGGCAATGTTGGAAGCTGGAATCATCGAGCCATCAAAGTCAGCCTATTGTCACCAGTTGTAATCATGAAGAAGAAGGACGGATCAAACCATTTCTGCTTAGACTTCCGGAAGCTGAATCTCATAACAAAATTTGACTTCGAATATATGGGTCCTTCTAAGTCAAACTATGAAATGCTTTATATGGTGGTCATTATTCTTCATCAAAATTTCAATACTTAAACCATCACAAAAATCGAGTCTTGCATCCATGAAATCAACTAGCATGAAGCTCCCTGTGATACTAGTCTAAAGTCCTAAGCTGGTTAAATGTCCTGAATCATGAATTATAATGCTAGATGTGCAACTTTATTCTATAGCACATTTCAAAAATGTGTGTGGATTGATGAATTATTAACCTGAAGTAGCCAGACTGACAGTACGTCCAGTTAATCTTCAATTTCTTCAGTACATTCCTCTTCAAAAATCTGTGAACGTCTTTCATTATTGCTATTTGTCTGTGACACCTACTGAATCTTATAAACCCTATGTTACAGTACAGATTGGGATTCATGTACAAATTCAACAGAGACGAGCTCATTACTATGTGAGGACATACTGTTCTGATACTTTTGGTAATGTACATCCACATAATGCTAAACACCTACTGTCACGGACATTCATCACATGAAAGTTTATTTTTTTTTCTTTCCCAAGACAAGTATGCAATAAATCTGCAAAATTTCATTTCTTTTTATATTTGATGTTACACACTGTGCCTGAAAGGAATGAAAGACCATTTTTTAAATTGTTTGTTACTGTGTAAGTTTTAATTTGTTTATGTAATAAAGTAATTGACTATCATTCCAAATGATTGTTTTATATATAATTAATTTGAATTTGTATTTTGGAAAATAGAATTTTACATATTTCAGCAGTTTCAGTTCTTTAATTATTATTTCTTTGTTCTTGAACATACAATTTTTGCTAACATGTATATTTGTGTTGTTTTGTTTTCTTACTATTAGCTTGCCAGGGCTGGAGCTCGATGTGATTATGCACTCTTTGTTAGTGCTACATCTGATAATGCAGACAGTTTACCTCAGATGTTTCGATCAGTTGTTGGACTTAAGATGTATCTGAATGAAACATATGGACCCTTACTCCTGGACTCGATTACTAACTGGATAAAGGTATTTGAATCTGTTTTCAAATCCTTAAAAGGTTCATTGATGGGAAGAAATCATAATAATCACAGACAGTAATTTTGTAGAGGTTATATTTATTTAATCCACCATGTAAGTTTATGCTGTCATTAGTTAAATGTCACATGTTCGAGCTTTTTATGTTCTAATATTGTTATTTGGAACACAGTTTTTCATAATAAAAATATACAGACTTCTTAATCCTATTGCCCCAGTTATTGCATGACACAAGGTTTTATGTCTTAAATTCAAAATTGTATAAAACTACTTTTTATTTATGTTATACCAATTAGAATAGCATACCATTTTAACTAATAATCCATATTTTAATAGTATACAAGTTTTAAGTTCTTAATTCTACAAGGCAATATAAAACAAATCTTGAATTTCCACTAGTGTGACCCAAGTGACACATTTTCTCTTGTCATCATACCTATTTTATCCACCATCCCTCAAAAAAGTACGAAATTAAACATAAATTACTCTCTATTGCTCAAAAAAACCATAATTTTTGTAGTCTTCAATTTTGTTTGGTTACAGAGCTATCAAATAGAAAATCGGACCCCTTCTGCAACACCCACCTATCTCATCCTCTCTTTCATAATTTGTTGACAGTTTTCTTTTATGTTTCATTATATATATTACCTATAACCAATAGAAAGTCAAGGTTTTCATTTATCAAATGATGTATTGTATAACGTTATGTTCTGAACAGTTAAATGTAAAATGCATTCAGACTATGAACATCATTCCCATGGG